GTCATCTCTCAACCAAAAAATCGCAGTAAACGTTGGATTTGCACGTCTATTCCGAAAAACGAATGGCATTCATTAAAAGCTGGCTTTTCTTCACCGGAATATCATACAAATAATCTGCTTTCTCCTGTCTTATTTGAAGAAATATTAGAAATGATACCAAAAAATGCTATAACCATTGAAATTTCACCGCATGGGCTTCTACAGGTATATATATTTATTAAAATAAACTTATTTTATTTAAGTTATTTTAATTGTATAACTTATTACATTTTGTTCCTAAGGCAATTCTGAAACAATCATTAAGCCCCGATTGCATTAATTTAGCATTAACAAGACGGGGTAATAAAGACAATTCAATTTTATTACTATCAGCATTAGGAAAGCTTTATAATCTTGGGGTTCGCATTATGCCAGGAAAACTCTATTCCAGAATTCCCTATCCTGTTTCTAGAGGAACTCCATCGATTTCTTCACTTTTCCGTTGGGAACATAGTACTGATTGGTTAGTAAAAAATAAACTTTTTCTAGAGAAATAATACAAAATGTTATTGTATTTTTTGACAGGTACGTAAGCACTTTTAGTGGAAGGAGATTGCAATTAATTAATGAACATTCGTTTTTGTTGGATTTGGAATCAGATGAATACAAGTTTTTACGAAATTTTAAAATTAACAATAATATTATATTACCTTTAGCAGTCCATTTAAAATTAGTAACGAATGTTTACTCGATATTAGTACCAGATAAGGCTAACAAACCATTTATATTTGAGAATATTATAAATTACAATGAAATACTAAAAGTACCTAAAAACGAAAAAATTAATTTAATAATTATGATATTTAAAGGTAAAAAAGTAATTACGTAAATATAATATTTCTTAACTATGTTTAAAAAAATGTAAATTTTTAGGCTCAGGAAAATTTGAAGTAAAAACGAAAAAAAGAATCATGATATCTTCTGGAACTATACGCGTAGTAGAAAGTGAGAATGAAGTTATTCCTGAAAATATTATAGTGAAAAAAGAAACAGAACTTTTATACGAAGAAGATATTTACTCAAATCTACTTTCACATGGTTATCAGTACGAAGAACCTTACAATATTATTAGCAGACTTTCTACATCGTGTTCCAATGGTACATTTAAATGGAGTAGTGACTGGAGATTTTTACTAGAAGGATTAATTCAAGTGCATATTATCAGTAGTAGGAATAAAAATATTTTGATGCCAAATAAGATACAACAACTCATCATTGACATAGGACAATTAACAGATGAAATGAAAAAAAATAATGGTAAGTATTTGATAAATTAATCTAAACTTTTCATTGTTACAAGAAATAATATAGAGTAGATTTTTTAAACTTTTTAATTTTTGTCCAACATAAATGAAAATCAAAATATATGTGTCCAACTGCAAAAGCTTTTTTCAATTAAAAATCAATTCATTTTAAATGGAATTTTTATAATCAAGGAATAGAATGTTAAAACTCAAAATATTTATTATATAAGGCTCTGATAATAATTTATTTATAACTTAGGTTTAAATGTTAATTATCGTCCATAATTTTATAACAATTAAATACTAGCACTTACAGTAATGAGACATTTGGTAACTAGTCAAAACGAAAACTGAAAATAAACAAAAAAGCAAAAATCATATTTGTTTTAAAAAAAAAATTAAAAAAATTTATACACCAAATAAGTTTATAAGTAAGATTCGTAACAATATTATAATACGTATTATTGAGCATTTTTGTAAATATATTATCATCATAAATAACTTAATTTATCGTTATTTGTACATGTACCCTAATTTTAAAAACAATTATATAAATCTTACTGATTTTGCTTCCGTAGCATTACCGATGAAGTTTGACAAACGGGTAAACATTATATTTTGCCCAGGAGTTACTATGATTGGAATCCAATTCAAAAAAATAACAATCGAAAACGATATTGGGAAAATAGTAGCGGATGAACTACGATTTATCCAGAATATGGAAAAAAGAGAGATGGATATGGACGACGTATGCAACTTTGTACTAGGATTCATTTCAGATAATATTAGCAAAAGTAGTACAGAGACGATAATGGTAGCGGAAGAGTCACAGTATGAAAATGAAAATATTATTGAGTGCCTCTATAATACCTTAGAAAGGACAAAAGAAAACTTCACTATGAAACTCATTGCTAGAGAGTGGCTTAACCAGACGTTAAATGAAAATTATGTTTTGATGATTATAAATAACGCGCATTTTAACGATGTAAGAAATTTTATTAATACTACCGGTAAAGAATCATTTTTATTGACAATCATTAAAACAGAAGATGAAGACAATGCCATTACTGCATTTACAAGCTTAGGACTAAAACTCGTTCTAAATATAAAAATTGTTCTTCATCGTACGGCTTTACTTTTACAAAAAGAAAAAAAATTAGGAAAAACGGTTATCGTTAATAGACAAGAAAACTCTGCCGATCAACTAAAAATCTGTTTACGAGATTCAAAATATGATAATGTTATATTTTTGGTTAACACTAATATTGATAATGATATATTCGAGATACTCAAAAGTATAAAAGGAGAATCCGAATATAAAAAACTCCAAATTTTCGACTTACAAGACGAAAAGGCACCGAAATTCTCACTTAAAAATGAGTTTTACGAAAATCAAATAAAACTAAATCTTCGTAAAAACGTGTTGTTGCCCAATGGTGTATGGGGCACATACAGATGGATGCCATTGCAAGCAAAGTCTACTTCTCCTTCACGTTGGCAAGCTAAAATTGATAAATCAGGCTCATTAGTATGGGTGGAAGAGTTGCCATTGATTAAAGAAAAAAATAGAAGTGTCGTAAAAGTAGAATTTGCATCATTTGACTTGAATGCTTACGAGTTTTGGTTAAACAATGACGTCAACTTAGAATCACATATATCTCTTATAGAATATTCAGGAAGAGATGAAAAAGGTCGTAGAGTAATGGGACTTGTTAATAATTTAACTATAAGTAATGAAATTTTACCTGATCCAGATTTCACTTGGGTTATTCCTGAAACTTTAAGCTTTGAAGAAGCTGCAACGATTCCCCATGCTTATTTGGCAGCTTTCAGCATTTTACATTCTAACACGCTTAGGTTTAAACATATAAAATCTATATTAATACATTATGGTGCTAGCGACGTAGGACAAGCTCTTATAAATGTATCTTTATCATATAATTTTGATGTTTACACTACTTACGAAACGGAGGCTGAAAAACGAGTCATTGAGTCAATACGACCACGTTTACCAAGAACTCATATTATTAATATTAATAACTATAAAAGTAATATTCTGAATATTACAAAGGGCAAAGGCATAGATTTCGTAGTGGCAAACCACTTCATATTAGAAGATATAAATACTTCTTTAGACATTCTCAATGATTTGCAACATTTCGCAATAATCTATGATTCTAAAGAGCCTTGTTATAGTCAAATAGCCCTAGCTCCTTTTATAAGGCATTTAAGTATGTATAGCTACTGTATGCAAGACCTTATCAGGGTGACACAGAATCAGACGAGAGTAGCAGCAGAACTGATGAGAAAAGCTCTTCAAACGGGAAGCCTGAAACCAATTATATCACGAAGACTTTTTCTTCAGGGAACAACAGATGGAAAAAAAAACGAGGCTTGTGAACGTTATGGAAAAGTAATTAATTTATTAGGTTTTCTTAAAAAATGTTTATAATATTTTTGCCTAAAATTCTAACACAAATGAATTTTTCTTTAGGTTCTGGTCAGCTTGCAAGAAAAAAAGGGACTATCTAAATTAATTCCTAAGCTTCTCTTCCATAGCGATAAATGCTACCTCGTCATTGACGGCTTCAATACCTTTGGCATGGGATTGATCGAATGGATGATTGAACAAGGAGTTAGAAACTTATTCATAGCTTCTAATAAGTTAAACCGATATCCCGAAAACTTGGTCTTTAGATGGCGTGAAAATGGAGCAACGGTCATTATCCGTGAGGAAGTAGACATGAACAAAGAAACGAGTTTTGAAAACTTGCTTAAAGAAGCTGTTTCTATTGGTCAACTCGATGGTATATTTGATCTACAGAGAACGAAGATAGATTCGTCAATTTCTTCGTCAAAGTATTTCAATGTTACTGAATTACTCGATAAATGTAGTAGAAAGCTATGTCCATCACATGTAAAATTCTTCATTTTCTCGTCGCTCAACTTGGACGAAGATGGCTTAAGAGACCCTAATGTAGAAAAATTATGCAAAGAAAGAAACGAATCTGGCCGTCATGGGTTATTTATTTTACTGCCTAATTTTGTGGAAAATACACTTAATGAGACGCATTTCAAGAATATATATTACACAAAAATGTCATTATTTTTAAAACAACTAAGTGCTCTACTCTCCACAGATGCTTCATTAATTGCTGTGCGCCAAATAATAAAAGATCATTCCGTACATGAAAACGAGTCAAATATCGTAGCTGCGGAAACCGACAAAAAGGTAATTCATTTTATTTTCATGTCTATGATATTATTATCTAATATTTATATCGATTAGGCTATGATATTATTATTACTATTACTATTATAATTGTTTAAAAGCTTTATAATTCACTGATCATTATTGTGTTTAACATTATTTAGCAAAAATCTAACGAGGCGATCCTACAAGAAGAAGTACGTCGTTTCGAACAATATATCTACGGCTATGCCTATTAAACTGCATAATATTTAATGGGAATAATTTAAATAACGTTAAGTATATTTTTACTACGAATTATATATATATAAGTAGTTTCTTTGTTATACACCTGTTTGTGAAGCAAATTAAAGCTTTGCGGTTGTAAAAATCACCGCAAATGTCTTTTTCTTCCTCTCTTTTTGCTTGGGATGTACGATAAGTAATAAGAAAGCAGGTTTTTATTATATACGGTCAAAAATATTAACGTTTACAATAGCAGATTTAATTTTTAAAGTTATACTTCTTTTTGTGCGCTTCGGAAAAAATTATGAGGGTGAATTTTTACGATGCGTGCGCATCCCGACCAAAACAACAAAATTTTTATTTCAGTTTTTGAGATTTCTAAAACTAATGCAGAGAAGTTTAATGCCTATTACTATCGTTATAAAAATTTATCTAAAACAAAGTATCCATTACAAAAAAACGCGGAACGTTTTAAGGCGTATAGGCTGCGAAAAAAAATGTTTTGTTACGCAAAAGAAGTATAACATTAGTTTTTTTAATCTTTACTTGTGGTAAAATATGACTCATGCGAATAACGACGAAAAGATGGTTTATCTGAAATATGCTGTCTTCGAATCAAGAATATGTACTCCTGAAAAATGGAATAAATTATTGAGCTACCATTTTTTTCTACGGAGAAAGTAGATCTAACGTTGCGTTATTATCGCGACTGAGATTTAAAAGATTGGGAATAATAAACGACATACGAATCATAGTTTTCTGTCTCATCGTTTTAATTATATAAAGACAAAGAAAGAGTGTTAATTCTTTTTCTTTAAAGGTACAATTATATACTATATAAAAACCTGATAAAGCATAAAAATTTATTTTTGCATATGAAACAATGATTAAATCTAGTATTGAAAAATTGTAAAGGTTTAGAAAAAAACAAAAAAATTGTTTTTATAACAAAAATTTTAAATTTTTTTGTAAAATATTTTTCAACCTGAAAATAAACATTATTTTTGCTTTGTTCGCATAAAACCATTTGCGATAATTATTCGACAAGCATAAAGAAATGTATAATTTGTAGAACGTTTATGTGTTGCTAAAAAGAACTAGTTAATAAATTATGTTTTTTATTATACTATCATTTTCTGGAATAATTTTCAAATAGCAGCATATTTATCCAATTGGGCATAATGCATCCCTTATTATTGTAACGAGTAATATTCATTTTTTTCTTTTCTTATATAAGCTTTGCAATAATCGGAAGTTATTTTCTTCTAATTAACTTTTTTTTACGTTTTTGTTTAAACAATCAAGATAGTCTTTGAATTCTACATTTTGTAAGAAAGTTTCTATTTACAATTTTTATTGAAGTTATCCTTCATTTGGCGCGCTTGGGAAAAAATGATAAGAGTAAATTTTTACGATGCATGCGCACCTCGACCAAAACAACTTCCGAAAGCGATGAAACGATCATAATAAATTTTTAGTTTCCGAAAAAGTCCCGATAAAGGGACGAAACGTTCAATAAGATAAAAACAAACGTTCTAAAAAAATTTTCAACCTGTTCAATTTCCTTAAGGGGGTATTCTGATCTAGAGACATAAATTTTAGGTCATTTTTGGAGTGCTGTAAAAAAAAAGCAATCAACATTTTTACTATCCATTTTTATATACATTATTTATTAACATTAGAAAAATACAAAAAAAAATTAAAAAGTCAAAAAAATCCAAAATCCTGTTAATTACCAGCTGATGAAGTGGGGAGTCTCAAAAATTTGGTGCGTGACCATACCCACGATTTTGACCCTCCTAGCAATCTGAAACCAAAAAAAAAATAAGATTCTTAATCTATAATAATGTCGCAATGTCTGGAACTAAGGAAAAAATGGAAAAAAATTTTTTTACAAAATGGCGACTGCCTAAAAAAAAAATTTTTTTGTACCACTTTTTTTAACATTCTTCAATTTTTTAAAAATAGTAAAAATGAAAATTTGGGGATAAGCGTAGTTCCGGACATAGACAAGTTTCTGAAGAAGACACTCTTAAAATTTCAAGTAAATCGGTTTAGTAGAACCTGAGAAATCGTGGGTATCGTATTAAAAAAGACAGTTCTGAGAGAAACGCGTTTAAAGTTTTAAGTAAATTTTTTGCAGTCTAAGTCATACAATTATATTTTAAACTTAAATTTATTTAATCTGCCATTTCTGCTGCATACATTGGACCTTCCTCGACTTCGAAAAAACTATTTTCGGCATTTCTCTCTTCCAATCGAGCAGTTCTGGCCTCCTTTGATGCGATGGATGTTCGTATCTCGGA